TACTTTCTGTAAGCAAATTTCAGATTATGGCTTATTCCTGATCTTTCTGCCCTGGCTGCTTGTCATCTGTTGGGTGCAACAGTCACCGTAGCCATAATGACGCCTCTTCTGATAAACGGTTTGAGGATCAAACATTTCAGTTGAGAACAAAAGCAGTAAACAGCAGAGGCACGAGAAACAAACCAAGAGGAACAAACACTGAATGCCATTTTCCCCCTCAGTTCAAATGCATTTCTTCAGCAACATCGCGAGTATTCAGACAAATGCAAATAAATTACAAGATATGAACATAGCTGAATCAAAACATATTTCAAAGGATTTTTTAACCAGTTATCAAACGGTTTTCGAAGGAGTTCAAAGCATTTTTTTGCCCAGATAAACTTATTTTGTAACCTTTGGAATTCAGTATACAACTAACTAACTATGGTACTACTTTATGTTGAGAGTTAAGAACGAACAAAACAAGCAATAACCCACCAAAAAGCTAGCCAACTGAAGCAGTGATACGATCCTTTATTTCCAAATTACACTATTTATTTCCAATCCAGAAAAAATATTACTACCCGTGTAAGTTCAGTTATTGTAAAGGATCTACTTTAGTTTCACTTCTGCCTCCTTCACAAGATCCCTTAGAAGACTCTCGAGGAATATAAATACATCAGTCAAAGTTTCATGAAACTGAAGCACGCAAAAACATGCTATTAGCTGTTCTCCGTTTTTCCCTCAACTGTCTCGTAAGTTTGTCACCGTTATCAGTTTATGCCTTTTTAAAACAATCACTTTTTAACACATACTGTATCAACAGGGCAACTGATTCAGGAGATGAAGTTAAGCACAGCTGGGAAACATCTGTAATATTCTGAATATTACTTCAGGCACTACCAAAATAGAGATGATGCCAGAAGATTTACGGTGTTAAGAAAAAGAGGAGGAAAAAAGCTTAGTCTCTTATCAGGAGTTACCTAACCACCAGTCAACAAAGTCATTAATATCTACCTGGTCTAAGATACGCTAAAGGCCAGAATCCCTTTAGTGGCACTTTACTTACCAAGCTAACATTTTACTCTAAACCACCTGCAATATCTCACTAGCAAAACCTACATCCTCACTTTCAGAAACTGTTCATAAAATCCCTTAAAATAAAATCTGATAATTTCCACTATTGGCACAGACACTGGGACATGACTTTCTCTTAATTTCCCTGTACAGCAAACCCAGGAACAGTAAACCATCTGAGTCCTTAATAATAATAATACCAAATGAGCCCTCAGGTTTGTATTAAGTGGAACAGCTACCCATGCTCATTCAATTTATTCTAATTTTTTTTTTTTTTTAATCTACAGGCAATCTGGATTTTCCGTGTATCTGAAAATACAAATTACAAGAACTTTAAATGCAATGAATTCTTTAAATGGTACTAAGTACTGCCAGCTGCTTGTTTAGGAGTATGACAATTAAGTCTTACCACATTAAAAGATGCATTTTTATTTCGGCCCAGGCCTAACTCAGAGACATATGAATACCATCAGCCTCCATACAGAAATTTAATCCTCATTCCAACTAGAACATAACAAGTTTAGTCCAGAACAGCACTATAAAAAACCCAGAGCCCCTTCCAAGGCTTGCTGTATTCCCATCCATTATCTCGGATGGTCATGGACCATCAGCTGCTTCTTGGTTTGCATTGGGTTGTTTGCTGTACAGCACCTGGCAGGATGGAGATCCTCCTCAAACTTGGTCTGCCTAAGAGTTACAGTATGACAAACTTATATTTTCCCCTCATTTTACCATCTCCGGTGCTGTCTGACAGAGCCAGCGATCAGCTCCCAGTGAATCAGGGGGCCCTCAGGAATTTGCATCGCTAGGACTGACGTTCTCAAAGGCACTGAAGATCCCACCACCTACTCCAGCGCCCAGTTCCCATTGGTTTCAGCTGTGATTAAATACCTAAATACTGTAACGGTTTGGGCTTAGGTCACAGGAATCGCTTGTTGGTTTCATTTGACCCACAGTGTTGAGTATCCTTTCTCAGTGTGTTTTGCGCTGACTTTCACTTAGATTAGTTTCTTTAATCCTCTTTACAGCTCAGAAATAACGGGTGTCCTTTTTAGGCAGTACAGACAAGGCACGGACTGTGCCTAAGAAAAAAAACAGCACACTTCAAAGACCACAAATGAAATAATTAATACATATGGGTCAAATTTATCACACAAAAATCAACATTCTGCTGCAGAAAAAAAAAAGGCAAGAAAATGAAGCGTTGACAGGTTTTTGGTTTTTTTTTTAAAGTCAGGACAAGCTCCCATTTAATCACTATATGCTGGGCCTTCAACGCACCAGCTATCTGGCACAGGGACCTTACTTGGGCCTGAACGACTGGACTCTACTACACAAAGCTAACAGGGCTATAAATACCAGCTTATAAAAATTCTAGTTGCCCACTTCACATGAAGGTGAATAGGAGACCAGAATCTTGCCATGACTTTCATAGCACCATTGAGCAAGTAACACTGAGAGGCTTCCGAGCAGAAAAATATCAGGTGGGGAAAAAAATTAATACTAAGGCTTGAGGGAAAACTGTATAGGAGGGGATATTTTTACCTGGTATCGTACACGCTCTGAAGCATTTTGAAAAACCGGTAGAGTTTATAGCAAATAATCCATTCAAAGCCCCTGATAAAGATATAAACGCAGAATGTATCCAAATGCAGCTAGTGTTTGGAAAATGAGAGGTA